AATTGCAAAATAATCTTGAAATGATAAAAGTCAAAACTAAATAAAATTTTGGTTAAAGTGTATCCAGGTAACCCCAATGGCAGTGCTTCGGTTAGGTTAGGTTAGATTAATTATATTTTCAATAGACATTTCCTTTTTTTTTTTTCTTTGTTTGTTTAAGAACTACTGTGAATCAATAACTAGTGACATTAAACACTAGGCAGCCTGCCAGTGGGTCCCCTCTGGTAGGAGTCCGTCAGGAGCATAAACAGTCAGAAGCACCACCATTGGAGTTACCTAAGTACACTTTAACCAAAATTTTTATCTGTTACATTGTTAATCTTTCAACAGTGGACTAGTCGGGTATGGTTCTACCCCCCAGTAGTGGTGAATAAATGTGGGAAATTTTTAAAGTATTTTTCCACGTGTTTTTTTTTTCATTACTGTTTTGGAAAAAGATTTTGTAAATAGTTATGTCTAGTAAAGAAAAGTCTTTTTTATTGTTACATAATTCATTTTTTATGTGAATTTTTTTTCATGGTGATTTTAGGCTAGTTTTTGGTGATATCCCCCAAAAGAATTTGATGACTATAGTTGTCCCTCACCTCTACACGATTGCCCTTGACGACTATAGTCGTCACTCACTGCTGAGTGGTTAATAAACTAATTTCTTAGATATGAAGATGATGAGTTTCTTTCAGGCCCACAGTAGAAAGGCTGGGTGAAGGATGTGGTCTGATAGATTTGTGACAAGTTTCTGTATGCTTTCAACTAAGTTGACGATGATGTAGACAATGTTATGTCACAAAAATCATGATAGGTGAACCACTGAAGACTTTACACGCAATATAGTTCCATCAAAAAATTTACTTAAGGGAGTTGTTACATTATGAAGTTATTCATAATAAGCAATACAATAATACTTTGTTTATTTTTAAACTAACATACGAAAACTAAAAAAGAGTACATGCTAATAAAAGTTCAAATCATGACAGAGTGGGAAATTTAGTTCTGTTCAAGATTGCTGAGTGTGAAGTATTGTTTGCTGAGCACAAAAAAGGCAAGTATAAAAGATTGTTTTGAATGTTTATAACAGTTTTCCTGTGGTTTATTGTGAATAATTTCATAATGTAAATCTTCTGTAAATGAATTTTTTGATAGAACTGTATTGTATGTAAATACTAATATATTGGCATTCTTCAGTAGTTCACCTATCACAATGAATTTTATGATGTCATGTTGTGTCAAAATCACCACTTGGTGATATTTTTATTGAAGTGGTGATGAAAATATAATACTGGTGATAAAACCGTCCACTTATTTCAACATTCAGAAATTGAATCACAAAGTGTGCTTCAGGAAAAACAGCAGAACGTTGAGCTTCTGTGAGATGGGTATCCTGTTCACCATGTACCTTATCAATGTCATGACATCACATGATAAGTTCAAATAGGAAAGCGTTGAAGTGACGTTGAGAACCAAAGGCAGTTTTTATGCAATGCTGTCCAGCATCTACAGATTTGGGATTTTTTTTATTGACTGACAGAAAATTTGGGGAAGTTTTTGGAATGACAATCCCCACTTTGATCTTTTTCAGTAGACTAAAGCATAAAAATTTTGATGTGACAGAACCTATGAAAAACTATTGTGATCAAATGTGATATTTGGAATTATTTGTTTAAAAATAATTCCTATTTTTAAGGGGCAATGTTATATTTGCTTTCTAGACTCCAAAACGTTAAGGTTACCAGCAACTTCATTAATTAGTAAATAAAACTGGTGGCAAAAAAAAATTTAAAACAGGCAAAATGATTAGCATTTTTTAAAATTTTCCAGAATGAATTTAGATAATTTATAAACTATGTTTTTCAGACTAATAGAGATTTATTTATTGCAATTTCAGAGAGTTAGAAGTTTCAGATTCAAGTGAAGGCAGCGATGATGAGATGGAAGTTGATGGAGGTGGTAAAACACGCCATGATCTGATGATAAATACTGAGGTAACATTACAAATATCATTGTTACTCTCCTTTTTTTCTTTCTTCTTTACTCTAAATTTTACATCTTTACTTTAAAATTAACTTGTAAAAAATGTTTGCAACTAATAATAAAAAAATGATCTTTACAGTTAGTTGCTCCTAGATATTTAAAAAAAATATATTTTACGCTTGGAAACTTATCTCGGTTGAATATCATTTAATGATCTATGGGTTATAAGTATTACAATAAATAACTATTAAACTAGATGTTATGTTAATCTAAAATTAATATGTATGCACTCAACTCCAAATGTGTAAACATTTGGACCCAGAGTTTTGGAGTGGCATTCAGCATTCACTTTGTAATTTTTCAAAAGACTCCATTGAATTTTTTCTGCCTATAATGCAATTTATTTGTAATAACTATTTTTATTCAATATACTTTTTATGTTGTTCATTTTAAAATAAAACAGCAGGAATTGTTGGTAAACTGCCATAACAATACATATACATCAAAATTCATAAAAAATAGAAGAAACACTAAAATAAATTAAAAGCATCTTAACATTTTGTTATGTTTATTGAATGTTCCTGGGATGTAGTAAAAGATGAAATGTGAAGACACTTTTAATTTATTTTAATGTTGTATTTTTTGTGAATTTTTTAAAATCAGGAATTGTGTTCAAATGGTATTCATCCATTGTAATTTCAATTATTATATAATTATACAAGAAAATTATTTTTGATAAATTTATCAGTGTTTGAAAATTTTGCTCTTTAATAGTTCAGGATATCCCACAGCTCTATTCATGGATTGAATAAAACCGAGCTGACTTAAACAATGAGGTGTTTGTTATGCAAGTTTCCATAATGTTTTATGATTAAAACTAAGTTTTCAAAGAGTTTTGTTTTGTCTCATCCATTTATTCTGATATGAAGCTAAAATAATTCACTCAGTTAATGAGTGAGGCTGGTTTTACATAGAACATCAAGTATAATTGAACAAATTAAAGCAAAAAGTCATTGCTTATTTTGTCAAATCTATTGGATATGTCTAGTATAGGATATTGTATTTTTATTCTATATCATTTTTATTAAATTCAATAAAATANTATTTTTAATCAAATTCAGTTTAGATAGAAATGGATATATTTACCACTATAAAATATAACTTTGTAACATTTAGAGTATTTTATAAATGTAACTTGAAAAATATCCATATATTTATTATATGTGTAAGATGTTATACTCAATATTATAAGTTATTTCTCTGCTGAAATTGAACTGTTACAGGATTTCATGACTACAAAATTTTTCAATTCAAAATCTTATAAGCTTTATACAGAATGTTGTGTTTAGATTATTTTTACTATTTTGGCAGTCTGAAACATAATCAAATTGAATGTATTTTAATCAAAGGATTCTGTAAGAAAATGCAATCAAAAATCAGTCATTTTCTTTAAGTTTAATTTCTGATTTAATTTTTCTCAATTAGATTTAATTGTCGTGTTCTTCTGAATTGTATGATGGTTAAAATTCATGTTTGAATTTTAAAATTATTAAAGAATTTGATAAGAATGATGTTATAAACAATTTTTTTCTGTACATATCAGATTTATCACATAAAAAGAATATTCACTTTATTCTTTTTTATTTACTTATTCATCTTTTTATTTAATAAGAATTTTTAAAGTGATTGCAATTATTTAATTTTAAGTCTTTTTTTCCTTATATTTTTAGAATGAATTTCATGTTTTCTTTTATGGTTAATTAATATCAAATTTTCATATAATTTTAGTAAATTATTAACTTAATTATTTAACCTGTTACATCAGAGAATCGTGTAATTTATAAATTTGAATATTTGTAGGTGGAATGGATGAGTGATAAAATAATGAGATCTTTTGAAGGTGCAAGAAACAATCCGTTTCAATTTAAACACCTTCAGTTGTGTCACACAATGATAGAGCTGAATAAAGTTTCTGAACCAAAAGTAAGAAAAAATTATTTAATTGCTTCTATTGTTAAATTTAATGAAAAAGTATGGAATGAAATTTAGCTTTATGTTTTAAAATACTTCTTTTACTTTTATTTAAATACTAATATAAATTTTAAAACAATAGTAAATTATTATTGATATTGACGTACAGCGGTACATTGTAGTTTGAATGTTCCAGAATTTGTATGCTAAGTTTGAGATAAATTCAATCTGGAATTTCGATGATGCTTCTATGTTCAAACTGCACACACAGTGAACAAACGTACTTGCAGCATAAACACCAAGATTTTCAAATCCATTGATTCTAAAGCATTTTGTTTTTTCGAAAGTCGAAGTAATTTAGATATTATTGATTTCCATAATAAAATAAGGAGTATTTTTTAATATTGTAGAATAAAAACCAGTAATATCTAAATTGTAATGTTTAAATAGGAATGTCATTTGTTAAAACATACTTGATGAATATGTGATAGTTGTAAAATTTCAGTATATCATCTTCTACATTATTATTAATGGCTGATTCACAAGTAGGAACTTGTAAACATATTTCACAAATTTGGATTAACCTTTGTGTGGTTATTCTGGAGTACTAAAAGGTGTCTCCAGTAAAGCTGTAGGTTTCACTCCTGTATTTTGAGAAATCTATACATTTTAGATAAAAAATGCATAGATTTCTGAGCATCCCTTCATCAGTCAAATTTTCAAAACTCACTATTTAATTTATTTCAAATTTATACGTTAATTTTAGCAACTTTGCAATTATAATGGATTCTGCCTTGACAGTAATAAATTCGTACGTATGCCAGTGATTTATGATAACTAAATATATTATGTTAAAAAATTATAATGGCACAGCTTGGCCTATGTGGCCCTTGTGCCAATAAACCCTAACCAACCAATCAACCTAAAATAAAAAGAACTTTCAGAGGAGTTTTTGCATCTGATTATTTATGTATTAGTGTATATAATTATATCATTTGACATAGTGCAGCTTGGCCTATGTGGCCCTTGTGCCAATAAACCCTAACTAACCAACCAACCTAAAATAAAAAGAACTTTCAGAGGAGTTTTTGCATCTGATGACTTATGCATTTGCATTGCTAAATATAAATCGTTTATAATTAATTTAGACGAAAAAATACATTTGGAAGTCATTGGGTATCTTCTCGATATTTTCTTCAGTAATTGTAGTTTTTGAGTGTCCTTCATGTGGATCATCTTTAATCAATGTACGACCACATTTAAACTCCGCTGCCCAATTTTTTCTGTTGATAATGACGGAGCAGACTCCTTATAGAATAGAATAGAATCAGTTTATTAACATAATAGGCAATTGCCTGTTACAAGGGGGTACATAACATTTAATAAAAGATAGAAAACAAACATTTAATAACAAAGGATCAAACAAACTACATTATTTGAGGTAGCATATAGTATTTAAGATTTTACCATCAAAAGTTTTCTAACACCATTGTAGAAATTAAAAATTTCGTTAGTAGTAGCCTGGTTAAACTTATCATACATGTAACTCACTAGACCTTGGTTGACATTTTGATCTTCGGTGGTTTCTGAGTCTTGATCTTTATCGAAATCGCAGCCATAAAATAAATGAATTTTTGATAATAGTCTTTTACAGTTTGGACAAGTTGAATTGTCATATTCTAAATATTTTCCTTCTAAGTCCACGTTGATTCAGTCTCATCTGGATAAAAAGTTTTTTAACTTGAAAAGTTAAGTTCGTAAAAATATAATTGTTGATAAACGGATAGTTAAATAGGGAGTTATAGTAAAACTTATTACTCCTATTACGAACATCATTAGTATCTTGAACTATAGAACATTCTATAACTCTATGCATTAATTGGTTGATATATTGATTATTATTTCTGAGATAATCAATGACTAGTTCGATAGAAAATCCATATTCATTAAATACATGAGACAGTTGAGTAATCCAATTTTGATTTGTATTTATCTTCTGAGATCTATTGTATAATAGTAGTGCAAGCTTACTAGACAAGTCATCTATGTTAATTGTCTTTTGTAACCATTTTAAGCAAGCTTTAAACAAAATCGTTTTTATTTTATATCTATTGAATTTCAAACGAAGAACACTCCCCGGCACGTTGAACTCCAACTGATAAAGCTTACGTATAAATATATTTTGAAGTTTTTCAAGCTTATTAAATTTGCTGAGACACCAAATAGGAGCAGCATACAACAAAGCATTTAACAGTATAGAATTGAACAGTTTAAAGTGAGTCTTATTATTTCTTATTTTTGCTTTAGAAAATAAACTTATCAAATTATTCAAAAGATTCCTGGATTTATGAGTAATATATTTATAGTGTTTTTCAAATCACAAATTAAAAATCCAAATGAGGCCTAAAAATTTCTTTTCATTGACAACATTTAATTTTTCGTCTCGAATATAAAAAGACATGACTTTTTTAGACATTCTATTCCCATTTCTAAAGATCATGACCTCAGATTTATTAGGATTAATTTTAACCCTCAACTTATATAAGTATTCAGTAATTTGTAAAATTTTACGTCGAAGAGCAACTGCAGATGGAGCAACAATGACTATGTCGTCAGCATAAGATAATGAATGAATACAAATGTTGTCAATGTAGATACCGTCGTTTTCATTCGTAAAACAATCGTTCAAGTCAAATAAATAAAAGTTAAACAAATAAGGGGATAGAGGATCACCCTGTAACAATCCCCTACACACAGTAATTGGATTACCACATTTATTATTTTGTTTAATTATAACATTGTAATTACCATAAAGTTGACCAATAATATTTATTAGACATTTACTAGCTTGATGTTTAAGTAATTTATTTTGGAGCAAAATGAAACTAATACTAAATATAAATTCATCATAGAATGTTTAAAATTAATCTATAAAAACTTATACAACCAACTTGATAATTAATTTAAATACCAAACAAACATCCAGATTCTTTATCAGGCTTTATACATATAAANTAGGCCTAGGGATCTCTACAATTAC